TTTTAATCCTTTTGCTTTTAAACTATATGTGTCTTCATGTTTAAGTTGTGTTTCTTATAGACTACATAGTTGCATGATGCTTCTTACATAGTTTGTGAACTGCTGCCGGAGTCTAGCTTTGTCCATCCAGCCTGAAAATTACCTTTTAATTGTAGTGCTTATACCATTTACATATGAGGTAATTATCAACGTTACTGGGTTTAAATCTATCTATTGATTCAATTCAAAATGATATTATTCTCTATGTTAATCATTCTTTCAATTTCCAACTTACTTTTAGTTTCCTCTTTTGTATTTCAGCTTGTTCTTCCTGGTATAATTCTTGTCGCACTTGTTCTAAATCGTCACGTTGCTGCAGCATTTGTCCCAATTTCTCAATCAGCTATTAAAACAAAACAAAACAAAAAATAATCAGACATTTACAGGTACCAAATCCTATAACACATATCTCAGAATTTCTCCAGCGATAAAACAGTGGTTATTTTAATACCATATTCTGAAGCTGTAGTCTTTTTTCTTCATTTTCCTGAACTTTTGCCATCCGATCTTCTTCTCTTTGTTGCTGCAAGTTGGCAAACTCTATGATTTTTCTGTTCTCTTCTTCCATTTCCTCACGTTTCTTTTCTCTCCAGAGAGCCTGCTCTTTCTGAAACTCTTCTATATACCTTCGAGTTGCATTCTTTTTTTCTAACTTTTGTTGTCTTTCTCTAAAATGCAATAGTGAGTGCAGTTTTATAGTAATAAATAATAAGATATCAAAAAATATGTGTAATTTTGTTCAGTCAATAATCTGGGAAAAATGTATAGTGTGTTCATTCATTCATGCAACAAAACATTTTGAGTGACTATTTGCCACTATCTATATGATGGGTATTTTTTCTGAGTAACATACTACTGTGCCTCTTCTCTAACCTACTAATGAAGTTTTATGCATCACATTTCAAAAACGCTACAACCTGCTAACATCTGCTTCACAGCACTCTACACTTCAGCTGTCGCCAAGGAAATTCATCTGAAAACAAGTCCTCTGACATATGATACAGGCATATTTAAGAAAAACAGGGGTTATTCATTGTCACTTAATAAGCATTTATTAATTACCAGATAATTGTCATGCTAAGAGATAAATAAGAGCTGGTCTCAGTTTATGTGATAACATTAATGAGGACTTACTGTGTTTAGACACGCTCCTTCGTTGCTTTACCTCTTCAAGCCTGAGATTAATGTAAATGTTTATGCACGTAAAATTGGATTAACTTACAATTGATCTTCTTCATAGATTTTCCTAACGATTTCATCAATCATGAGTTTCTCTTTCAGCAACTGCTCATAAGCTTCCTGCTTTTTTCTCTCTTGTTCTTCAAGTTGTTTCTCTAAGTCAATATAATACTGTGTTTTTACTTTATTCCGTCTCTCTTCTGCAGCACTCTCTTCCTTTATTACTCTCTCCTGTTCTTCCATCATGATTTTCACTATTTCAGCATCACGTTTCTGTTATGAAAACAAAATTCATCTTCCATTTTCAAATCTGAGCAGTGTGATAGAATATTATAAAGCCTGTTACATAAAATATTCTCACCTGTGTAGGTAAAAAGCTAAGGTAAGTCACTGTCACCTGAAGTGTTTGAACGATGAGTCAAACCGTAAAAAGGCTTTCCTATTCAAGTAGTTCTCTCAGGGCAACACATGATAAGGATAGTTATAGCTCCACATTTGAAAAGCAGTACATAAAATTAGATGTTCTCTATGAGCAATGTTACAATGTAACTGCAAAGCAATAGCCATCTTTTTCTTCTATTTAATGGTGGCAATTTTAACAATTTTTAGCTCTATTGTGTATGTGGAGGGGGAAAAAAAGTGGTTCTATGGAAAGTAACTTCACAGGGTGATCT